GCTTGAGGTCGCCATTGTGTGAGGTTCGGCTGTGATTCCGAAGTCGGCTCCAAAAAAAAGGCATCTCAAGCTCATCTCATCGCCAACCTTCTCTTTCTCATTGTTCTGCGCAATTGAAAAACGTACCGAGCAAGACCTGGGCAACACCGCCCGCGGCGCCAGAAAAGAGGTCCTTGGCCGTCTGGAGAGCACCGCCCACAACCTCGGGCTCAAGCGCCGCGTCCGCCATCGTGTCTAGCCTTTTCGTTTGTTCGGTCTGTTTGCCGAGCTTCACTCTCTATGCCTTTGCCCCGCCACCGTTGATCGGTGCGCGCCCTGAAAAGGTCCGTTGGGGAAACTCCGAATGTCAACGATAGTGAATCTCACACTCGAGATTGAGTCGACTGACTAGAGGGCGTACCGAAGACAATTGGTCTCGGGGAATGCGTAGGAGGTGAAGTTCGTCGGTGATGGTTGAGAGGGAAATCGGCGACCACTTGTCCCGGTTTAAGCTCAATGAGACTATTTATCAAGAAGCCACCCCCCAGACACAGATAAGGCAAGCTGTCTGTGGGGACATGCAGGGCGGTCATGGCGTGCTGTTGCTAAGCCGTTTACGGCGGTGGTGAGGGTTCACCTTGATGAGTAAGCTGGTTAAGCGCGACAGCGCGGTTATGAGGTCGGCGAGGCCTTCCGCCATCCTCCAAAGCCTGCGTGATCTTTGTGAGATCAGCTCCGTTGTCGAGATGTAAATTGGTTCGTCAATTCCTCATGTGTTGTTTAATGTTCTAAGTTAGTCCATGCTAGGGGCTAGTGTCGAGTATCAGTACTGAAGCATGCCTTAAACTCGTACCCAAATTCTACCATGCGTGGGAGTCCTGCATTCGTCTTCGTCTGTCATTTGTTGCCAAATTTTTGAATACCGTTATAATGAATGCCAAATAGTTGGCTGGCGATTGCTGTAAGAAGGGAAAGTAGTCAGCGGTGACAGCTACCTGGCCCAAGGTTGAGCTGGCTCAGGTGAGGTAGCTACCCCACCAAACATGTACCTTGACCCCTCACCTCGGTGAACAGGCCACCGTAGAATGGGCAGTACCGTCACTGCAGCTCCCCCTCCACACCGTTACGAAAAATCGCGAGTTCCTACCAACATCGGAGAGATGCGCTGAAGGCAAACATCAGCTCAATTTCACAATGTCGGCAGCGGGAAAGAAGCCGGAGACGGCTGTGTATGTCTACCCGAACTCGTTCGTTGCCGCGCACAAAGCTGACCATATTTTTTTAACCACCTCCACAGCAAGGACGCCACGCCCAGCAACCCTCGAGGTATCCCCAAAGCGCCGTTCGTCGACAAGGTCGAGGACTACGTCACCACCCGCGAAGATGTCGAACCGACGATGCGCAACTTCCAGGAGATGATTTCGTGAGTCGCTCACGTGCCCGCTCACCCGCCCGCCAGGTGGGCTGGTCATGCCACACCAGAACTTCAGTCCGACGCATCGAACGAGGCTACCGGGAAGGGCAAGGCCAGGTTAGGCACATGGGGAACAGCTGGTAACATATCATTCTTTTGCGCAGGAAATACCAGTTCATGGAGCTGAATCTTCAGAAGAGGATGGCTGGACTGAACGACAAGATTCCCGATATACAGAAGACGCTCGACTCTGTGCGGTTTCTGAAGCTCAGACAGGTGACTAGCCGCTCACGGATGCATCTATCGACAGGAGGCGCTGACAAAAGAGATAGGACGACGATGAACCGATCGAGACGACGTTCGAGCTGAACGATACGCTTTACTCCAAAGCAAAGATCCCGCCCACCGAAGAGGTGTACATTTGGCTAGGCGTATGACAATGACTGCTCCGCAGTAGACGATGCCATGGGTTTGAAAAGGTGGCTGACTGTACAGCAGGCAAATGTTATGTTGTCGTATCCCGTCGACGAAGCCGAGACCCTACTCGAGTCCAAGCTATCAACGGCGAAAACGAGCTTATCAAACTGCGAGGAGGACCTGGATTTCCTGAGAGAGCAGATCACGGTAACATTTGGCACCTAGGCGAGACGGGCTTGACCGCGTATACTAATCAATCACAGACTATGGAAGTCGCCATCGCAAGAGTATACAACTGGGAGGTGGTTCAAAAGCGGAAAGACAAGGAAGAAGGAAAGGATATCAAGAAGGAAAAGGACGAGGACAAGGCTGGCAGTTAAGAGGCGAAAAGCTCGATACCAAACCAAAAAACAACTTGATGATGTTCTGCCATTTCTTGCACAACCGCAATTTCACAGCACAGCATAAACCCGCAGCTATGTTTTTACACAACACGATCCGGATCATTGGGCCGTTGGTTCAAGCGATGGCCCTGTAGGCTTACGAATCCCGACCAGGGTCACGCATCCGTAGATAATTTAATTTCGAGGTCGTGGCTGAAGGCTTTCCATTATCGATACCCCTTTATGCCATGGTAACGATCACGAAAGCGAACTAGGAGGTTTTTGTTAGTGCTGTGCAAGATCGCAGACTACCAATACAGCGTCACAGCATAGCTATGCACGTATGATGTTTAATCACTGGAGGCCAACCTGTCAGAAATCCGCCCGAGGTTAGCTAAACTTAGTAAGGAAAGTTTTAGCCATTGGATCAGCCGCCATCTCGATACCACTGGTGCTGGCCCGGTGCAGCTGACCGTGACCGAATCATGACAATCGAGAACAACGCCCGCAAGCTAAGATCTGAGACGATGTTGGGCATGAGGTGGCAGACTGCACCAATCTACAGCGGCTCCGGGTGCTCGTGGGTAGGAATCCAGATCATTACGTAAGGCTGGGCTGTTATCTTAATAAGATGCGGGTGCCGTGGCAGGCGTGGCACCGTGGGTGCGTGTCCGTAGGTGCGTAAGTGCGGTGTAGACGGCCGGCTAGGTTCGACGGGAGAGCCCAATTCGTGAGGGGCAGCCAGGGGCAACAGCTGTGCGGGACCGGTCGCTATGACGATTTTTGGCATTCTGCCAGCAGGTTCACTTTAATTCGACTTCCCAAGCCTCCCCTACTTTCCCGCTAGAGATCTTCCTTTCCCTTACCTTTCCCCACAACCAGCTCTTCTCTCCTAAACACCTACAATCCTGGTTGGCAACTTTCTTCAGGACAAACAACTTGTTACCGTTGTCCTATTGTCTCCGAATCCCATTACCTCTCCTCCACCCCGTCTTTTTCCTCTCTCTTTTCTTTTTTTCTTTGGAGGGCTCTGCAAAATCCCTCTAGCTACACCGATCTTCTTTCCTCGTCAACGAGAAGACCCTAGAACAAAACCCCCACCATGTCCCAGCAAGAACTCGATCCCAAGTACGACCAGTACGACTACCCGACCGTCGCCCCGACGGCGGCCAACGGTCACCCTGGCCACCTCACCCCCGAGCAGAAGGCTCAGGTTGCCCAGCTGCGCCTGATGCTTGAGTCGGATGGCTACGACAAGCGCCTCGACACCCTGACTCTGGTATTCCCTCCCATCCTGTGGCAGACACCCAATACTCGGAGGCCTGCGAATTCCACATCCAGAGCACCTTACTAACAGCCGAATTATAGCTGCGCTTCCTCCGCGCCCGCAAGTTCGATGTCAACCTCGCCAAGCAGATGTAAGCGGTGTCTTGTCTTCCACATTAGATCGTGCAACATGTAGCTAACGGGTATGATTCAGGTTCGTCGACTTCGAGACCTGGCGGAAAACGACCAAGCTTGACAACACCGTGCCGACCTGGGAATACCCCGAGAAGGAGGAGGTTTTCAAGTTCTACCCCCAGTACTACCACAAGACCGACAAGGTACGCCGCCATAGGAAAGAGACAACTTGCTCGGTGAAGTCACTCACTAACGCACTGCTTCACAGGATGGCCGCCCCGTCTACGTTGAGCAGCTTGGTGGCATCGACCTGAACGCCATGTACAAGATCACCACCGCCGAGCGCATGTTGACCAATCTGGCCGTCGAGTACGAGAAGTGCGCCGACCCCCGCTTCCCCGCCTGCTCCCGCAAGTCCAACCACCTCGTCGAGACGTGCTGCACCATCATGGACCTCAAGGGCGTCACCATCACCCGTGTCCCCCAGGTCTACAGCTACGTCAAGCAGGCCTCCGTCGTCTCCCAGAACTACTACCCCGAGCGTCTCGGCAAGCTCTACATGATCAACGCTCCCTGGGGCTTCTCCACCGTCTGGTCCGTCGTCAAGGGCTGGCTCGACCCCGTCACCGTCTCCAAGATCAACATCCTTGGCTCCGGCTACCAGAAGGAGCTTTTGAACCAGATTCCCGCCGAGAACCTCCCCAAGTCCCTCGGTGGCAAGTGCGAGTGCCAGGGTGGCTGCCAGCTCAGCGACGCCGGCCCGTGGCACGAGGCCGAGTGGACCAAGGAGCCCTGGTGGCAGAAGCCCGAGGCCAAGGCCGCTGCTGCTGCCGGCGGCGATGTCATTGAGAACAAGGGCGGTGAGACCGTTACTGCTCCGGCTGCCGGCGGTGCTGCTCCTGCGGCTGCTGCTACTGCAGACGCCAAGGCTCCTGCTGCGGCATAAATGTTGCCCTTTTAGGAAATTGCGTGCATTGGAATTGAGGTTGTTCATTGAGAGTGGCGCTGCCGGATGAGCAGTTAGAGAGAAGGCGTTGACAAATGTGGTGTTGTGTCCTGAGGTGAAGAAAGACACTGGGTTGGGTGGGAGATGGGGGTGGCTACCTAAAAACAAGAGCATCTTTTCTTAGAACCGCTCATACACGTGTTGATCCTGGCAACCTTTGCTATTTCACATTATACATACTTTCATTTTGATCAGTGGACTCCATTGAAAGGCATTTTCGCAAAAAAGAGAGAGACCATCGTCTTTATGCTTTCCAGACTTTATTAGACTGCAATCAGCACATGTAAAAAGCACTGTCCATGGGTCATCGGCCGTCTGGCAGGATGCCCACTGTTGTGGTATAAGTTCCCAACGCCTCAACTCCCATAAAGTAAAAGAATCCCCCTCTCGTCAGATTGCCTCACGACCGTTCCGTAACGGTATACTCCCCAGCAACCCTCGCCCTCTCCATCTTGGCAACAGTAGCAGGCATCGTCTTCTTCAACCTCCCCAACCCGCCCACCGCGCCCCCAAACGCGTCCTTCACCTCGCCCCTCCTCTCCATCGCCTCGAGCGGGAGCACCTCGGCCTCCATCTCCCTCGCCTCGTCCTCTTTCGCCTTCTTCGCAGCCTCGAAAGCGGCCTCGTCTGCGGCCGCGGCGGCTTTGAACTCGTTTGTCGTCGCGGTAGCGATGGCGCCGGGGACGGATTTTTTGAGGGCGGCGATTTCGTTGAGGAGGTCTTCTTCTTCGCGCGCGAGGTCTTCGACGCGCTGGCGGAGGCGGGCGTCCCAGGGTTCGTAGGCTTCTTCTGGTTCGTCTGAGGGCGTGTTGTTGGAGAGGAAGGTTGACGGGTCGGTATCCATGCCGTTTATGGAGAGGTTTGGGGCTGCGTAGGTGAATGTTTTGTCGATGTACTGTGTTTCGAGGGGGGGTTTTGTGTTAGCGAGATTCTTGGGGATTGGTGTGGCTCGCTTTCTTCTGCCTTTGCTTTCTCGTGCCTTGGAGGAGCAATCTCGAAGCAAGAACATGAGGGTCGTGCAAAATTTCGCCGAGACAAAACAAGAGAAAGGGGAGAGTCTGGAATAGTAGCCTTACCTCGTTGACCAGACGCTCAATAGGCGCCCGCAGCTCGTCCTCTTGCGCGTTGCTGCCCTCGATGTGCGGAAACGCATTGTCGAGCTGTTCCTGCGCGGCGCGCCGGACGTTGGTGAGCAGGTACGCGAGGTCGTCGCGGGATTGCAGTTCGATTTTCCTATGTGCGTCCTCCATAGTTGTCTCCTCGTTTCCGTTTCCTATCCCCTTCTTCCTTTTTGGGCCTTAGATTTCTTTCACTCTTTTTCTTCCTTCTTCACTAACACATTCGAGTGGGATCCTGGTGGGTTTGAGAAGGGCGGTCTGTATTGAGAGTCCTTAATTGCTCCTTTTGGAGGGTGAGATTCCTCGAGTTCGATTGGTCTCGCGACGTTTGTTGGCGCGTCGTGGGTGGTGGGGTGTTTGAGTCGTGGTGGGATGTGTTTGTCCTCGGTGTGGATGTTTACTTGCGCCTGGTTTGCTTGACGACGGGACGGTCCAGTTCCATTCGACACCACCTCACCCCGGTCAGCGGTCGCCCCATCGGTGCGCGTCGAGCCCGTCGTCCGATGTGACCTGTGCTCCTCCCACCATCCAGCTGGGCTTATCAGGCGCTAGTGCGTCTACCCTATCTTATCTTCTTATCAGCATGTGACGCTGCCTAGACTACCCTTAGGTACCGACCTTGAATGGCCGAATCGATCCCAATGCAACGCCAACGACCCAACCCCGAGAACTGCCGAGATCGGACAGTCGCTCCGAAGAGGTTCAGCGAATGGTTCGGTGTGGAACACAGACCAGTAAGGTAGACCTGTTCCGTTCACCTTTGAGAGGGAATGATGGGCGGTGGCACTGTGCGGGACAAGCATCACCAGAAAAGAAACCCTCCCCAATTTTAGTTTTACCTACGTACAGCTTTACCCTCATGCATTGCATGAATGCTGCAAGGGGAGAAAAGAGAGTATGGGATCATCCGCCAAGGTCACGAGGTGCAGCAGTCCCACGGTTCGGATCTTGTTCAGAGGGATGGGCGAGAAGGGATCGACGTCGATAGTCAATATATGAGAGACATGAAGAATGACGACCGGTTCGGTGTCGGGACGGTGTGTGTGTTTACAGCATCAGCCAAGCTACCATCTTCAAAATAGCATCACAAACTTTCTCTGCCCATACACATTCATCCAACAACTTATGCTTCCCGGCCGAACCGGATATGCTATGTCGTACAGACTAAGGAGCGCCTGTCTATATAGGTGGCACAACGCAGGCAAAATGTCCCAAACTCTTTTTCCGACTTTGAACGGCGGTAGGTACTCTCAAAACTTGGCATTCTTGCTGGACGTCCGTCCCCTTGTCCGTCTGTCTGGGTTGATGCATCTCGGCGCTATGACTGCGAAACTGGGACGGACCTGCATGGGGGGGGGGAGCACAGAGGATAGACAATTTTACCGCACCATCGAAATCAAAACCAAAGGGGTAGTTTCGAGGACTTTCAAGACTGCGTTTCTTATCCGTACATATGGAGGTACGCCAGACACTCACAATGAGAAAATTGCGGGGCGATGGTTTACGGGATGGTTCAGCTGGTTGATGCAGCTGGGGTAAACGCTGTTTTGCGTCACCTATCAAGGTGAGAAATAAATAACCGGCACGGTGCGGCACACCTTGGTGCTCAGCAAGGGAAAGAACCGGGACATCTGTCCCAGACCTTACCTTACCTTGCTGTTCTTCTTTCGCAGAGTGTACATCATGTCTCACTTATCTCCTCATCGTTCTGAGTGTTACCGACAAGCAACGGGGAAAAGCCAAAGGACCAAAGACCATCATCGCACTTACACCATCCATACTCCCATGTCACAAACGTGGGGTTCCCCCCTTCCCAAGATGGGCAAAGCCCACGGCGAAAGCGGAGCTTGCTTTGCTTGGAAGGGGTTTAGGTGCCATGGCGTTGTCGGTCCTCGGGTGCGTGCGGTGAAGGTACAGTACAGTAGCGCCGGGCCTGCGGTACTGGCGGTCTTCCGCTGGTCTGGAGCCAACCCAAGGTAACTGGACCCTCTTTCTCAGAACGCCATCTGGGACGGAATGGCGTCCAAACAGGCCACACCGACGACAGTGCGCCGGGAGAAGAGGGGCTAACGGTGACCAGAGACCTGAGGTTTCGAGTCAGAAGTTGAAGGGGGGCCGTTTCAGCGATTTTCGAAGATCAACATGATACTATTTGCACTTATTCAATGATTGTGACTATTGGGCTCTCAGTAAGGCATGCACTCATGGAGTGGCTGCAAGACAGGTGGTTGGTTATCGGCTGGTCTGCCCAACTACTCCGACGGTACCCGTGGACCCTGACGTGGTACCTGGCCGGCTTGCGCTACCCTACTGCCCAAACTCTCGTAGAAAGAGAGACAGGAACATGCTTGATAGGCTCAAATGTACGCCATAAATCAGGACATTGTGTAGATCACGGTGGCGGACGGCTTTTGACTTGTATAGTGTCCATGTGACACTCCCTTATTGAACTATGAACTGGTGGAAAATCAATGAAAAGGGAAAACCGCGGTAGAGGCGGCATAGTACACGATCGAGGAGGGTATGTGCTTGCAATCCCATGGAACGCCCCAATCCAAAAGAAAAGCAAACGGCAACAAACAGATAAGAAATGTAACTTGAGACAATGAAACCCGTCTCGCCAAAACGATCCCAACTCCCCCGATGATTCCCAAAGGCCGGTGTCACTAATAGCTCCTCGATGTCGAGAAGGAAATGCGACTTGTACTGTGTTTCCACTTGGTGTACTCCCATGCACGTTCGTATCCGGATCGAACATGGACCCATTTGCCTTGGTGGTTCGTTCGTAAAGCAGTCTGATAAAATGATAAAAAAGAGTCCGAGGGGGTACAGGTCGTGGCCGGACGCCGTGATGTGGAAAGAAAATGTATCTCGTGAGAATCGTCGGTCTAAGCGCTCAGGACGTAGTTGTTCATGTGTAGCGTCATGGCCGTCTCTGAGGGACGCCGTTATTGGGGAAACATGTTGTTGATCTCCTCGTCGCTAAGGACAATCTCGTGTACGGGCTCCCGTCGGTTCTCGAGCGGGGTGTAGTCACAATCGACATACGACGGCAGGAAGATCTCTGAACAAAGTGGTCAGCAAGTAATGGGAGGAGAGACCGGGACAACCTTTACTCACCTGGGTTCCACGCAAAGCCCTGGCTCGAGGAGAGGTAGGTGATCTGGATGGCCTGTTAGCATTCGTTCCCTGAGGAGGACTATAGTGGTCTTACAAGGCGGGGAGTTCCGTTTGGTTCGCCGATGTTGATAACGGTGCTTTCCTGCTTCGACAAGGCGGAGCCTGCCCGTGACGTGAGCAAAGGTCCCAAGTTGACATGTACAGAGTCCGAGACAGGCATGTCGGGCAAGGCTGCAGGCCCGGGCTGTGTAGCTTCAGAGTAAAGTGGGATGACTTACTGAGAAGGCTAGGACGACGTTCATGGACCATCTTTCGCTTCTGAACGGAAGTCGGGGAAGATGTTTGAGGTGAACTGGAGTATGTCGACGAGGAAGAGCTAGCAGCACCCCGGACCTGGGGTGACTGGTGGTGGTGATATGTGTTGGCCGACGACGGGGTCATCGGGATTGCAATTGACGACGACATGATGTATGTAGTTTCGGAGGGGAACAGAGGGAAGACACCAAGTAAGATGAGACGATAAAGTTCAAGAGTGATTGAAAGCAGTCAGAGAGATCGAGGAGAAGCACGAGAGAACGCACACCGGAAGGCAGGTCATGTATGGTAGAGAAGCAGTGCAGCGTCACAGTGAAGCAGATGTTGAAGGAGTCAGAAGTGGGATTAAAGGTACGAGAATGGAGAGAAGGAGTGCCTGTGACTGTACAGTGCTAGGTCGGCTTGCTGGACGAAGGCCCAACGAGGCACCCGGCCGGTGAACACATCATCCCATGGGGGGGTTGATAAGAGATAGGTGCCGGAGTAGCAGGCCGTGCTAAGGACCGACGGTGACACTCACCGACGACTCTAACAGTGGAATTGCGGGAGAGACCCTCACATCATCATGGCAGGGATCTTGTGCCGTCTCCACAGTACATTGGGGGCAGGCGTCCCCACTCGAGGCCAATCGGAGGTCGTCGCTGCCTCCAGTCTGGGCAGCGTGATGCAGGCACTTCGCCTTGCTCCAAGTCATCTGCTGAGCCAATCAATCAACCAGAGAGTGTCCAGTGGGGGCCTGCCTGGTATCCCACCAGCACGTGACCTTAGAGCTTCGACCAGGTTCCTGACTAAGCTGGGCTGGGCTGAGAGGCTGCGCTGCATGCGTATCCGATTGACGCCTACAGCCAAGCTCGAGCAAGCAAGCACCACCACCACCCAGCTTGAAATCAACAACCTTGCCATCATCAACGACACCGCCTAGTTTCCGCGAACTCACATCCTCTACGAACTTCGAGGCATCTCGAGTAACGAAACCCCTTACTCCACGCCTTTAATACCCATCAAATATCCGACACAATGGGTGACGTCTTGGTGGAAAACCCGGCCAACCAAGTCGCCCCTCACAAGAAGACAGCTCCCTCAACAATCCCTAGTATTGAGAACTTTGAGGGCATCGCGACGGAGGGAGGTGACGACTATGCCACATTGAAGAAGCTGCAAAGACAACTGGAGTATATCCAGTTGCAGGAGGAGTATATCAAGGATGAGCAGAGGTTCGATACTCGCACGATCACTGCGTGTCATCTGGTTTGCTGACCCGCTGGCGTAGGAGTCTGAAGCGCGAGCTTGTCCGGGCTCAAGAGGAGATCAAGCGAATCCAGAGTGTTCCTTTGGTGATTGGGCAGTTTATGGAGGCCATCGACCAGAAGTATGCAGACCCCCGCAGGCAGCTCCCGCTTCGAGCTCAACAATGCTAATTCATCATAGCACCGGAATCGTACAGTCATCCACGGGTTCGAATTATGTCGTCCGCATCCTTTCCACCCTCGACCGCGAGAAGCTCAAGCCCTCTTCCTCCGTCGCCCTCCACCGCCACTCCAACGCCCTCGTCGACATCCTCCCCCCCGAAGCCGACTCGTCCATTGCCATGCTTGGCGCCGACGAGAAGCCCGATGTGACGTACGCCGATGTTGGTGGTCTGGACATGCAGAAGCAGGAGATCCGCGAGGCTGTCGAGCTGCCATTGACGCACTTCG